CATGTCTATATTTAATATCATGTCGTGTGTTAAGAGAGAATTTATTTCTTCATTTCCAATTTTAAATCTTTTTATTTCTTTCCCTTGTTTTATTACACTGGCTAGTACCTCTAATACTATGTTAAATGGAGGAGGCAAAAATGGACATTACTGTCCTTTTTGCTATCTTAGGGGAGAAGAGTTCAGTCTTTCATCATTGAGTAGGGTGTAGTTGTGGATTTTTCATGCATAGTTTTTATCATGTTGAGGAAGTTGTCTTCTATTCCTAATTTTTGAGTTTTTTTTTAACAGAAAGATTATTAAATTTGGTCAAAGGATTTTTGTGAAACAATTGGATGACCAATTTTTTTTTTGCTACCTTAATGTGGCATATTATATTGATTCATTTTTCTATTTGGAATCTACAGGATGTAGTCAACATTTATAGAATACCAAAAACATCAGAATATATATTTTCCTCAAGCTAACATGAAACATTCACCAAGATAAACCTCATTATGGATCATTAAACACAACTTAAAAATTGAAAGGAACAGAAATGTTATAATGTATGTCTCAGACTACAGTGAAATTAAACTAGAAATCAACAATGAAAAGATAGCTGGAAAGTCCTAAAATAACTGGATAGTAAACAACACACTTCTACATTATACATAGGTCAAATAAGTCTCAAGAGGGATTTTAAAATGTATTCAATGAAATAAAAATAAAAATACAACTCATCAAAATTTGCAAAATGCAGTGAAAGTTGAAGGAGACTTGTAAGATAATTTTGTCATGATATATAGTCTTATGGAGACCATAAACTCAGTTTTGGGAAGGGGAATAGGAAGACACAAAGCAGCAGTTCCCAGGAAGGGAAATGATCCTAAAATTTATTTAATAAATGGTTTCCAAGCAAAGAAGAAATCCAGGGTGTTGCCAGAATAGAAAAAAAAATGGAGGGGTCAAATATGAAATGAAGGCTGTGACTGAAGAGTCTTTTGCTTAATCCTCAGAATCATTATGGTTGCATCCTTGGAGTATGACATAATCAGAAAAAGACTCTCTGAGGAGATATAGTATGTATCATAGATGCTCTCAAACAATTGGGCTTCTGGAAAGTTTAAGGGAGTTTTTCCTCAGCCTTCTCAGCAAAAACCCAAGGTAGAGATAGGGTTACATTGAAAGGATTTGTGGGTTCAGCATTGTTGAGCCCTGACGAAGCTCACCTCAGAAGGCTTAGACCAAATCACAGGGTATTTGTGCTAATGAAGAGCTACAGGGGAACCTGTTGATCCTGCCCTGGCACTCCCATGCATGACTATACTTTTATATATTTTTCCTTATCATTTTATTCTCTTCTCTGTTTTTACCCTTTGTTTTTTCTTTCTTTTCTCATTTCTTCACCCCTTTTTGGACAGTTTTGTGAAATTAATGGACAGAGGACAGGCCTTGGAGACAGAGAGCTTGCATCTTAGACTAAGCTCTAGAACCAAGTTAAGTGACCTAGAAGATGTTAAGTCTAATCTCTTCACTTGCATAAATATAGGAATAATATCTAATTTACTGTGTGACCATGAGGATTAGAGATAGTAAGTGTACTTCCTTAAAGGCAGAAAGTTTCCAATGAGAGTGGCTGTTGTATTGTTTTTATTACTGTTGCTACAATTATGTTTATGTGGTTGATTTGGATTCTTGTAGCAGCTGTTAGTAAACTCTACACTGAGTTTCTTTACTCTACATACTCTTTACTATGATTATTTTTATGAGGTTGATTTAGATTTTGATAGCTGCTATTGAACTCTCTTAGTCTCTTTACAGCAGAGTATCCATCCCGAGATGCTCTGGGTGCTGGCTGCTAAAAATGCTCACATGATCTCCCTTGAGAAATGCCTGGGATCTTGCATCCTCCTATGTCTCACTTCTCTAAAGATTTCTTCTCAGAGGATTCAAGCAACAAATCATCTACAGGAATTGCCATCTCATGCTTTGCTTCTAAGATACTAACATTAGAAAATTATTTTTTAATTTTTATTTTTAATACTACAAATATATCTTAGGCCTTCTACTAGCAACCAAAGATACATTAAGCCCTCAGTTAAAGAGAATGCTAATCTATACTGGATCAGTTTCCCCTTCCTGGCTCCACTTCTGGCACGATGGTGTGCAACTCAGAAAAACTGATGAAAATTATTTTAAAAACACATTTAAAAATAGTTGGCTTTATGAGCATACACAAATTGAAATGCCGCTACAGATATACAGCAAATGAGGACACATTTACTCAAGAATATTTACTAAAACTCCAAAAAATGATGAGTCTTTAGTATTTGAAGATCCATACTTTTCTCCTCTCCACTCATTGAGCTGGGGACTCCACCCAGACTTGTACAACCAAGAACACAAGTTTTTGACTCCCTCCAGGTCCTGGTTGGAGGGTTGTCTTCCTGGGAAGGACATGACATTAGCATTTCTCATACTGCTCCTAGATACTTGTTGCTGAGGCAAAGTTCTGTACTACTGCAGCCAACAGGTGGGGGCCCCATTCTTCCACCAAGCTTCCTCTCATGGGACAGAGGTTCTACCTTGGGCATGGTAGGACACTGAGGTCCCAATTGCTATTGACTAAGCTCATAGGACAGGGGCTTGTGCTGAGGGAGACAAGCCAAGGACACCTGGGGCTCTTGCCCATATATCCACTGAGCACTTAGTTCTTCAAACTGGGCTGACACTTAGAATTGACCTATTGTTCCTTACTCCAGCACCAGAGTTGTGGCTCAGAGATTTTCCCTGGGAGGAAAGGCAGACCATAGAACAGAGAGCTCAAATTATCTCCCCAAAGGAGCCAACTTTATTTGCAACAGCATATGAAGTTCAAATCTAAGGGTGCTTTCAAAAACAGTAGAAGTGTTGGTGAGAGGCAATGGGGAGGAGAATGATAAATTCATTGAAGATACAGGCTAAATGATAAGCCAACTAGTTGCTGGAGAAAAATAAGAAACCAGCAGCAAGAACTAGAGTCTGAATAAATTTCAAACATTGACCATCAGGAACTGTCCCTTCATAGCAGCCTGAGTTTGACTGGATTAGGGTGTAAATAATTTATTCTCCAGGACATTTTTATGAACAATAGAGGTTTTAATCAGCAGTTAGTGGAGTTTCATAGGTTAGTGTGGTCAGGTAACTAGACCAACACTGCCAAAGTCCTGCTAAAACCTTGTTATCCCAGAGTGGCTTGGCATATCCAAGGATGAATCCCTGAGGTAAAACATCAGAGGCTTTATCCTGTGTCTGTTTAGGGGATAGAAGAGGAAGAGAAGGGAACAGACATCACTAAAATAATCCAGTTAGTCTTTAAACAAGTAAACAAGCTAACAACAATGACAAGCACTTAAAGAAGGGAGAGATGAAGCCAGTACCCAAAGTTGCTGCAATATCTAAAATGATCATTTTCCAAAAAATCTTATGAGACATGCAAAATAAGCAGGAAATTATGCCCTAGATACCAGAAGAAAGGTAGGCGATAAAAGCCACCTGCAGGAGCGACCAGATGTGAGAAAAGAAGCCATTATAAATATGTTCCAAGAAACAAAGGAAACCATGATTTTAGAAGTAAAGCATGATGACAGTGTCACATCACACAGAGAACATTAATAAAGAGACAGAACTTATTAAAAATAACCAAATGGAAATTTTGGAGCTGAAAAGAGCAATAACTGAAATTTAAAAATTCACTAGATGGGGTCAATAATACACTTAAATGGGCAGAAAGTAAAAGCACTTAAGAATAGATCAATAGAAATTATGCAATCCAAAGAACAGAGTGAAAAAAGAATGAAGAAAAAATGAATAAAGCCTCAGAGAAATGTGGGACACTAATTTATACCAATAGACATGTAAAGGCAGCCCCAGAAGAACAGAGGGGGAAAGAAGCAGAAAAATATTTGAAAAATTAGTGGCTAAAAATTCCCGTTTACTAAAAAATTTTAATCTACATATCCAGGAATTTCAACAAACTGCAAGTAGGATAAACTCAAAAAGACCCATGAATAGACACATAGTAAAAATGCTAAAGAAAATCTTGAAGGCAGCAAGAGGAAAATGACTCTTTGCTTAAGGAAACTCCTATAAGATTAACAATTGACTTATCATCAGAAACAATAGAGGGCTGAAGGCAATAGGATAACCAATTCTCAGTCCTCAAATTTTAAAAACTCTTAATCAAGAATCATATATCCAGCAAAATTATCATTTAAAAATGAAGATGAAATAAAAAGACATTTGGATAACAAAATCTGAAAGAATCTTCTGCCAGTAGACCTACCTTACAAGACATAATAAAGTTAGTTCTTCAGGCTGAAAACAAGTGACCCAAGACAGTAATTTGAATACACACACAAGCACAAAACAAAAAACACTGATAAAGGTAATTATGCAATTATAAAGGAGTATAAATGGATATTTCTTATCCTTTCTTCTCTTATCTTATTTAAAAAGCATAAAGCAATATATATTTATTTGTATTTGTGGGCAAATAACATATAGACATGTAATATATTTACCAATAGCAGGGCAAGGAAGTTGGTAAGAACAAACCAGCATTGGGTTAAGAATTGACTACAGATGTTTCACTTGAATCCAAAGGAACAAATGCATAGAACCTGAAATGGAAAGAAGGCTAATATGAGAAAAATTATACATATAACATAAAAATTGTGTTTACACTGGAAACTGACACTACATTGTAAACTGACTATAACTCAATTTAAAAAAAAGTAAAAAGTTATACGTATAAACTTGCTCTCTTTTCTCCTCTCAGCTTCTTTAAAAGACATAAAATTACATAAAAGAATAATAATTATAATGATGTACTGTTGGGCTTATAACATGCATAGAGATAATACCTATGACAAGAATACCACAGTAAGAAAGAAGAGAGTAGAGCTATATGGGAATGCTGTTTCTACATTCTCTGAAATTCCTGGTGTAATTGTGAAACTGTTTTTGATAAGACATATATGGTAAGGCCTAAAGCAATCACTAAGTAAATAGCTAAAAATATATAGCAAGAAAATCTTTAAAGAAGTTAAAAAGTAATATTAGAAAATATTCAATTAATGAAAAAGAAAACAGTAATGCTAAAAAAAAGACTTGAGGTATAGAGAAAATAATAACTTATATGGGAAATGTAAATCCCATTGTTTTGCTTAGTTTTGTTTTTATGAACACTGGATACAAGTCCCTTATCAGATATATTATTTGTGAATATTTTCTACCATTTTGTGGGTTGTCTTTTCATTTTCTTAACATTACTTTTTTAATTAATGCTATGTCTCTCTTTTTTTTTTTTTTTACTTAAAATGAATCAGAGCAAACACAACATGTGTACAAATTTATAGATAAAGGTGCTCTGGAAAAAAACACATAAATATATGGCAAAGAAATGAGACTTGGCATTTTAATGCTGATCATGCCATCCTCAATGCCATAACACCAAATCTGTGCTTGCAACAC